CCCCAACTATAAGACTGCCAACAACTATCTTTTATGGAAATGAGACTAATGAGCCATGCAATCTCCTTCTAACATCTAAGTGAATAGTCAGGACACTAGAGTGATATTCCAAAACACACAATACCTAGCACAACTTGTGACAGAGGGCATGAGGATTGCCATGAGAAACTACTGGAACCAAGCATGGTTATACAACATTCTTCAACCACTTGCTCCTTCTATGAATCCAAACTTTGTCCAGGCAATGAGGGACGAGTGGCACATGCCCCCTCACTTCAACCCAATCCAGCCACAGCATCTCCCCCAAAACCTCCCATTCTTCTCACCCGACATTCTAACAGTCATGAATCCAATTTTCCTACCTGGGACACCACCCAACAGGATCAGGAACAGGTAGTGAATCAGGAGGTCCCCCATGCACCACCATCTCCACCACAAGCCATGCAAGAACAAAACCTAGAGGAGGCAAAATGGAGGAAGAGGTCGAGGGACCCTTCAACTTAAACTCAAAACAAGTCCTAGACTTCTCAAATCTAGATGGGGTAAAGGTATATCTCTTTACGGAGAGGCATGAGAAGAGGCACGTGCTCAATTATCCCTTAGCACTTTACAAGTGCTCGATGGACATCAGACCACCACAAGACCCAACGGTGGGCAACAGAGCGATGATTCTGGTGTCATCTCTGAGGAGGAATCCCATCTTTCTGGGAGGAGTAAGGGAGAACAAGGATCCACAGAACCCAAACATAAATCAATCAATGAATCGACCAACTAATTTTATAGTGTGGAACATCCGTAGGGGAAATAACGATAACTTCAGAAGGAATTTTAGGGAGATGATTGATACACATAGACCTTGTATGGTAACACTCCTGAAAACTAGGATGGTTAACCATGAATAATGCAACAACAACAACAATCCAGTAAAATCCCACAAGTGGGGTCTGGGAGGGTAATATGTACGCAGACCTTACCCTTACCCCAAAGGAGTAGAGAGGCTGTTTCTGGAAGACCCTCGGCTCAAGATAATAAGAAAAACAAAAAGGAAAGAGTATTAGTCTCACCACAGAGATCATAGGAAAAATAGGAACATAAAATGCAGAAGGAAAAATGCAAAACAAAAATGATGGCTAGTAAATAGGTCCTGCACCGAAAAGAGAAAAAAGTAAGACACGGCCAGAGGCGGATCTAAGATTTAAACTCTATGGGTTCAATCTTTAATGTCTTTAGCATTGAACCCATAGTATATTTAAAGTTATGGGTTCATATCCACTATTTTTCATAATATTAATAGATTTTTACATATAAATTTATGCTCCACGTTGAAAGTACTGGGTTCAGTTGAACCCGGCACTCAGTTGTTGCATCCGCCTCTGGACACGGCAACGCCCCTATCTATTTCAGACAAAACCCCTACCAGACTAGGCTCACAACAGTACATGTAACACAAGACTCAGCTACCTCCTAGCCTACAACCGTAATACTCGACCTCCATACCTTTCTATCAAATGTCATGTCCTCGGAAATCTGAAGCCTCGCCATATCCTGCCCAATACTTCTTAGGCGGCCCTCTATCTCTTCTCGTGCCCTCCACAACCAGTCTCTCACACCTCCTTACTTGAGCATCTGGTCTTCTCCTCTGTACATGTGCGAACCATCTGAGCCTCGCTTCCCTTATCTTGTCATCAATGGGAGCCACGTGCACCTTCTCTCGAATATCATCATTTCTAATCTTGTCCATCATAGGGTGCCCGCACATCCATCTCAACATCCTCATTTTTGCTACTTTCATCTTTTGGATATGTGAGTTCTTAACAGGCCAACACTCAGCCCCATACATCATCGTCGGTCTAACCACCGCTTTATAGAACTTACCTTTGAGTATCATTGGCACTCTCTTGTCTCACAAAACTCCGGATGCTAACCTCCACTTCATCCATCCTACCCCAATACGGTGTGCGACATCCTCATCGATCTCCCCTTCCACATGGATAACCGAACCAAGGTACTTGAAGTTGCCTCAACTTGGGATAACCTGTGACTCAAGGCTCACATCCACACCCACTTCCCCCAGCTCAGTGCTGAACTTACACTCCAGGTATTCCGTCTTTATTCTGCTCAGCTTGAAACCTTTAGACTCAAGAATCTATCTCCAAACTTCTAGTCTCTCGTTAACCCCGGCTCGTGACTCATCAATCAGAACTATGTCATCGGCAAATAGCATGCACCATGGCACCTCCCCTTGAATATGGTTTGTCAATACACTACAAGTAATTTTCTACAATACCTGGAAAGTTCTCTTTAAAAAGAGTATAATGACATCCTTAGGATAGAAGAGGACTATTGGAAATTAAGGTCAAGAGTCTTATGGCTAAATGACAGTGATGCCAATACAAAATTCTTTCATATAACGGCCTCTAACAGAAGAAGAAGAAGAAGAAGAAGAAGAAGAAGAAGAAGAAGAAGAAGAAGAAGAAGAAGAAGAAGAAGAAACAAAATTAACTACTTCAAGGATGAGGAAGGAAATTGGATAAATGACCATGAGTTAATCATGTCTCATGTCTCCAATTACTTTAAAGACATTTTCACATCCTCTCATACTAGTACTAAACTGAAACCTTTAGGGTCTAACCCCTCAAACCTCAATAAAATTGACCTGCGTTCCCTTGATAGTCCACTTTTAGATCTTGAAATTAAAAAGGCAATTTTTTTTTCAAACCTTTTAAAGCACCCAGCCCGAATGGCCTCCATCCATTCTTTTATCAAAGATATTGGCACATCATTGGTCAATTAGTTACTAAGTATTTCTATGACATTTTTATTAATCAAGAAATCCCTAAGGAAATAAATACAACCTATCTGTGTTTGATTCATAAGGTGCCCAACGCAAACCACATTAAAAACTTTCGACCGATTGACCTGTGTAACACTATCTACAAGATTATTACCAAAATTCTAGCCAATCGCCTAAAACAGTTTTTAGCAAAAATAATCAGCCCTTTCCAAGTTAGTTTTATGAAAAATAGAAGAGCATCCGACAATACTATTATTATTCAAGAATTATTTAGTAATCTTCGGATAATTAGGATTAAGCATGGTCACATGATGATAAAAATCGACTTGGAAAAGGCATTTGACCGTATTGAATGGTCATTTGTCTACTACACCCTTTGATTTTTCTAGTTTCCTCCTAAATTTTCCAAACTATTACTCAGTTGTATTTCTTCTAGCTCAATCTCAATTCTGGTGAACGGCTCTATAAGTACTTTTTTTAAACCGAGTAGAGGAATCAGGCAAGGAGATCTTTTATCTCCTTACATCTTTATTCTATGCCTCGAAATATTTTCGAGTTATATTACAAGTCAAGTAGATACCTTACAATGGGATCCTATTACCATAAAGAGAAATAATATTAGCTTTTCTCACCTATTTTTTGCAGACGACTTGACCCTAATGGAAAAGGCTAATGAGAAATCATGCCATGCCATAAAATTAGGATTAGAGACCTTTTGTTCCCTCTCTGGTCAAAGTATCAATCATGCAAAATCAAAAATCTTATTCTCCCAAAATTGCAACCCTACTACTATTAAATCAATAACAAACACCCTAGGGTTTAAAAAAAGTGAGAGTTTTGGAACTTACTTAGGTTTTCCAATCCTAAATAGAAATCCAAGGCCGACAGAATTTTATTATTGATAAAATGAGAACAAAACTGGCTACTTGAAAGTTGAGATTCATTAATATTGCAGGTAGAATGACTCTAACTCAATCCTGTTTAAACTTTATCCCTAACTACTATATGCAATACACCCTTCTCCCTAAAAAGATATGTAAGATAATCGATAAAATCCAGAGGGACTTTATTTGGGGTATGACTGAGAATAAAAAGAAACTACATTTAATCAGCTGGTCAAATGTTTGCAAACCAAAATCATCAGGGGGGTTGGGATTGCACAATGCACATGCAAAAAACTTGATTAACCTAGCTAGTTTAGCCTGGAGACTCCTTACCCATGCCACTACTCCGTGGGCAAAAATGATCATTACTAAATATGGAGGAGGACGCTCCAAAGCCAACCAAACATTCATTTGGAATGCAATTAGGAAAGGCTAGGAGGTATGCTCCAAGGGCATCGTTTGGTCACCCTAAACAATAATATATGGGATTCGAAATGGATCCCCAATTCCCAAAATCTAAGAAGTTTAATTGAAGGTCATCTATCACCAACCCACTGTAGCCTAAAAATTAAAGATATCTATATAACTACAAATGGAACCTTTCAAAATTGTCTATGGACATACCAAATGAGATTTTCCAAAATATCCTTACAGAAAAAATTCGCAAAAAAGGACCACACATGACATTCCCATTTGGTCTCTTTGTTCAAAAGGTATTTTACAACTAAAAGTTGTTATGCCTTAATTGAACCTCAGTCTCAGCCACATATAGATTTTAACTGGATTTGGTCACTATCTTGTCCTAATAAAATTAAATTCTTTATATGGCAATGCCTCTATAATAGGTTGCCATGCAAGAAATACCTAACATGGATTCGGATTAATAAAGATCCCCTTTGCCCTATATGCAATATGAAAATGAATGAATCTATTACTCACATATTTTTGGAGTGCAAAGCAACCAATTCCTTTTGGTACAACATGGATGGGGTGACCATAAGTGAATACTCAAAAGAACACTGGCTAATACAACTTAGAAACATGTCCATTACCATGAACCATAATATCCTCAAATGGAATTACTTCCTACCTTTTGCCCTATGGGGAACTTGGATCAATAGAAATACCAATAACCAAAATAACACGTCCCACCCCATAAACACTAAATACATTGTTCAACAAGCTTTAGAATACAAGTTACTAATAATTCATAATCCATTGTCTGTTGAGAAGATCCAAATCAAAGTACGTTGGCAAAACCCACCTAAAGGGTGGTACAAGATAAACGTGGATACAAGTTACAATGAAGACAAAAGTAGTGTTGGGGGAGTTCTTCGCAATGCGAAAGGCCACTGGATTGTAAGCTTCACAAAGAACACCAATTCTAGGGGATCTTTGGAAGCAGAACTAAAAGCAATCAAAGAAGGGCTTAAAATAGCTCATGATTGGGACACAAAATAAAACTTCTCAGCCACAACACTCTCAAGAATTGTTGTGTTAACGTACTGGGCTTGCGTAGTAGTCGAAAGACACAGTACAGAAACTACCCAAAATATATATAACTAAATGGTAGTATTTTTTGATTCGACATTGTTGATAATAAGTCTTTTAGACATTTATGAAAAAACAAAAGTAAGGATTCAATATAAACGAAATTAGAATACCAAACACTTCGTAAATAATTGACGCCATGAGCTTTTGCTGACAAAATAAATTAAGACGAATTGCAGAAAATTAATATATCTTGCAAAGAAGTTAGGATGATTGGTATATGTCTTGCAAAAGATATATCCTTTTATAAGGGTGGATAGAGCGATATCTTGCAA